CTTCAAAAAAAAAATAAAAAAGAAAAATATAAAAAAAGAGAAAAGTTAAAATTTAAAAAAAAAAAAGTAGAAAGAAAAAAAAGAAAATAAAGAAAGAAAAAATATATAGAGATGGAAAAAGAAAAAATAATTTTAAATAGAAAGAAAAAATTCAAAAGAAAAGAAAAAAAAAAAAAAGAAAAAAAAAAATTTTTTTTTTTTTAATCCATTTAAAAACCAAAGAGAGAAAAAAAAAAAAAATTTAAAAATAAAAAAAAAAACATGGATTTAAAAATTCATAAAATCTTTAAAGAATATTTTTCAGAGAAAAATTTAAAAAAAAATTCAATTAATTTTTTATAAATTTAAGATATCAGATGAAATTAATTTTTGAGAAAAATTTTTTTTTTTTTTTGTTTCTTTTTTATTAAGATCTAAAAGAAAAAAAAATTTTCAATTTGGATAAAAATTTTTTAATTATATTAATTGAATTTATAAAAAATTTTTTTTAATTTATTTTTTTTTTTGGAAGTTTTTAATAAAGTTTGTCAATTAATTAAAAAAAAGAAAAAAAAAAAAAATTTTGAAATTTAAATATTTTAAAATTTATAATAAAAAAATTTTAATGAATTTTTCTAATTTATATTTTATTATATATTTTATTTTTTTTAAAAAAAAAAATTTTTGATTTAAATTTTTAATATTTTTTTTAAAAAAATTATTAAAATTAAAAAAATTTTTTAAAGAAATTAAATTTTATTGAAATAATAATATTTGAAATTTTTAACATAAATTAAATTTATTTTTGAAATTTTTTTTATTAATTTATTTTAATATATATTTAAAAAAAAAAAAAACAAAAATAAAAAATTAAAAATCACAATTTCAAAAAACAATCAAAAAAAAAAATTTGGTGAAAAAATTTGAAAAAAATTCCTTTTTTTATTCAAAAAAAATCATTCTTTATTTCAAATTTTTTTATTAATAAGAAAAATTTTTGAAAAAAAATTTAAATTGTTTTTAATATATCTCATTTTGAATTTGAAAAATAAATATTTTTTTAAATTTTTTTTTTTTTTTTAAAAATTTCTTAAAAAATAAATTCTGAAGATTTAAATTTTTTTTAGAATGTTTGTTTTTACAAAAAAAAATATTAATATTTAAAAATAAAAAATTTTTATTAACCTATTTTTTTTGGAAAAAAAAAATTTTTTTTTTGAAATAATTTTATAAAAAAATTTAAAAAACATTTATTATTTTTTTTTTTTTTTTTATTAAAAAATTAAAAAAATTTAATTTTAAAAATTTTTAATTTTTTAAAAATTTAATGGAAAAAAAAAAAAAATAAATTGATTTAAAACTTTAGTTGATTATTTCAAAAAAAAAAAAAAGGTTTTATTAATTTTTATTTTTAAAAAAAAATTTATTTTTTTAAAAAAAAAATTTTTTTTTTTTTTTTTTAAAAAAAATTTTTTTTAAAAAAAATAGAAATGTTGATTTTTAAAATCAAATATTAAATTGATATCAAAAAAAAAAATTTTTTTTTGATTATTTTTTTTATATATTCATTTTTTATAAGATTATATATGGAAATAATTTTGGATTTTTAAAGATTTATTATAAATTTAATTTTAAAAAATAAAATAAAATTTTTTTTTAAATAATTTTCATTTATTTTTTTTTTTATTCAATATTTATAAAAATTTTTTTAATAAAAAAACATTTTAATAAAACATAAAAAAAAAAAATTAATAAATAAATTTAATAATGATTATATTATTAAATTTTAAAAAAAAAATTTTAAAAAAAAAAAAAAAAAAATTTTTTAATTTTTATTTTTAATTTTTGTTTTTTTTTTTTAAATTTTTTTTACAAACAAAAAATTAAAAAATTGATAAAAAAAATAAATTTTTTTTTTGAATTAATTTTATCTTTTTTATTAAAAAAATTTTTTTATTTAAATAATTTAAAAAAAAATTGAAAAAAAAAAAAAAAAAAACAAAAATTAAAAAATATTTTATTTTTTTTTGAAATTTTTTAAGGAAATCAATTTTAAAAATTTTTATTTTTTTTTAGAAATAAATTTTTTTTTATTTTTTTTATATTTTTTATATTTGTTTTTTATTTTGTTTAATTTATTTTATATAATTTTAAAAAATGAATAAATAATGAAAATAAAAAATAAATTTTTTAAATATAAATTTTTATTATTATTTATTATTTAAATTTTTTTTTTTTTTTATTCTAAAAAAAAATATTTTAAAAATTTTTAATAAAAAAAATATTTTAAAATTTATAAAAATAAAAAAATAATAAAAAAAATTTAAAGAAAAAAAAAAATTTAATAAATCAGAAAATTTTTTATTTTTCATTTTTTTAATATTTTTTAATTTTAATTAAATAGGAAATTTTTTTAAATAATAAAAAATTGAAAATATAAAAAAATGAAAAAAATATTAATTCTTTTTGTAAAAAAAATAAAAATAAAATTTATATTAATTAATAATAAAAAATATTTAAAAATTTTTTTTTTTTTGAAAAAATTTTTTTTTTTTTTTTAAAATTAATAACATTTTTTAAAATTTTGGATTGTCAAAAATAAAATCCCCAAATTAAAAAAAAAAAATTTAATTTTTTATAAAAAATTTTTTCTAATTTTTTTTTTTTTGAAAAAATTTTTAAAAAATTTGAAAAAAAAACATATACTTCAAAAATTTTATAATTTATTAACAATAAAAATGCAAAATAAAAATTGAAAAAAATTTAATATTTCATTTTTGAAAATTTTAAAATATTTTTCTTTTTTTTTTTTCAATTTTTTTTTTTTTTATAAAAAAATTTAATTAAATGAAAAAAAAGAAAGAATAAATTTTTTGAAAAAAATTGAATTTTTTTCATTTAAAAATTTCAAATTTTATAAAAAAATTTTTTTTTATTCAAATTTTATTTCAAAATGAATTTTATTTATATAAAATATAAAAAAATTTTTTTTAAAAAAAATAAATGAAAAAAATTTTTTTTTTAAAATTTTTGATATTTTTTAAAAATTAAATTGTTTTATTTCCTTTTGTTTTTTTTTAAAATTTTTTTTTGTTTTTTTATTTATAATGAAAATTTTCAAAATTTCAAAAAAAAATTTTCAATAAATTTCCAATTTTTTTTTTTATTTTTATTAAATGAAAAAAAAATTTTTTTTTTTTTTAAAAATTTTTAAAATATTTTATATATAAACTTTTCAATAAATATAAAATGATATTTTTTAATTTTAAATTTTTTAGCCATTTTAAAAAATTTTGAAAAAATTTTTTTAAAATCAAAAAAATATTTTATTGTTTTCAAATTCAAATATAAATAAATTTTTTTATTTTTTTTTGATAATATTTTTTTTCAAAAAAAATAATTAATTTTTTTAAATTTTTTTTTTAAAATTTATAATCAATTTTTTTAAATATGTTTTATTTTATTTAAAATAAAAAAAATTTTTTTTTTTAATTTTATTTTTGATTTCATTTTAAAAAATAAAAAAAATTTTTTTCAAATTTATTTTTTTAAATTTAAAAAAAAAATTGATTTCTCTTAAAAGTTTTTTTTTTTTTTTTTTTAAATTTTTAAATAATTTCAAAAAACAATGATAAATATAATTTTTTTTTTTGAAGAAAAAAAATTTGATTGTTACATTTTAAAAAAAAAAATTTTTTTTAAAAAAAATTATTATAAAATAAAAAAAATATAAATTTAAAAAATTTTTTTATTTTTAAAAAAAAAAAAAAAAAAAAAAAATTCAAAGAAATCATTTTAAGAGAAATTGTTTTTTTTCAAAAAAATTTTTTATTTAAATCAAAAATTTTGAAATGAAACATTTTTAAATTTAATTATTTTTTTATTGCAAAAAAAAAAAAAATTTTTTAAAAAAAAAAAATTATTTTAAATTTTTAATTTTTATTGACCATTTTTTTATTTATATGATTTTGATTTACAATTTTGATTTGTATATTTTTTAAAAAAATTATAAAAATTGAATATAAAAAAATTTTTTTTATTCAGTAAAATTTTTTAAACAAATAAAATTATGTATTTAAATTATAAAAATTTTCATAAATTAAAATTTATCAATTTTTTAAAAAATTTAATGTTTTTTTTTTTTAGATTTTTATTTAATAAAATAAAAAATTTTTCATTAATATTTATAAATTATTTTATAAAATTTTCATATTTTAATTTTATTTTATTCAAATTTTTCAATTGATTTTGAAAAAAAAAAATCTATTAAATTATTTTAAAAAATTATTTAAAAAATTTATAAATTGATTTTTAAAAATATTTGTATTTTTTTTTATTATTTTTTTTTTTTTTAAATTTAAAATTTAAAATTTAAAATAATTTTTTTTAACTTTTTTTTTTTTTTTTTTTTAAATATTTAAAAGATTAAAAAAAAAAATTTGGAAAAATTAGATTTTTTCTAATTTTTAAATTCTATTTTAAAAAAAATTTTTCATAATTTTTGAATGAAAAAAAATTTTTTTTAATTGATGAAATTTTTTTTCTAAATTAATTTTTTTCTTTATAAAAAAATAGAAAAAAAATTTTCAATTTTTTTGTAAAAAAACATTTTATGTGGGTTTTTTAAAATTTATTATTTTTTTTTTTTAAATTTATTTTTGATGATTATTATTTTTATTTTTACATTATTCAACTATTGTCCTCATCTTTGTTTAATATTTATTACAACGTTTCGCCTTTATTGTTTCTTTGGCCTTCTTCAGGTGGTTGGAATGTCGAACTGAACCCTTTATTTCGCTCACTGGGGTAGACTGTTCTAGTTCCACGTGCCATGTTTAATGGATGTCATTATCAGTTATCTCCTGTTAATTTTCCCTCTGAAAGTTCTCCACTGCCTTAACCAGGTATTGAACTCACACTCTTTGGGTACTGTCACTGGATCTAACTAACGCCTTTATCCACTGTGCCATGTGTCCTTGAGGACATCTGTGTATGAATTTCTGGGTATTATAAACCTAATG